ATAGCGGTTCTCATTAGGCAAGCTATAATTTAATTTTATTGGTTTCACAATTTAGAATAAAAAGAAATATGTTATTTTACGTATTAGATCAGTGGTTCGTAAGTCAACAAACATGTAACCTGACTCACAGTTTTATATGTTTGACGCTTTGTTTTTTTGTTTCTGTTATTCAGGCAAGATGCTGTTTCAAAAGATTTTGGAGGAACATGAAGTGGTTGTATGGGTTTGCTGGCTTCAATATTCTACTTGGAGTCTTTTTGGATCAAGTGAAAGGCACAAGAAATTTCAAAAGGCAAAGCAAAAGCATGCCCCGCAGTAGTCCAATTTGCCCAAGCTGCTCCAGGCCTTTAGAGGACCCCGAGTGGATGTGGGATGCTCCAAACTGTGGCGCTCTTTTTCTTTTGTTTAAATAGTTTTCATTTGGAGTTGGATTTGGATTTGTTTGTGCCTTATAAATTGAACACGTCGTCTTATTGAACTGCACGAATTTAATTGCTGACCAAACTGAAAGGCCCAAGCCCAATCCGAATGGATCGGCAGATATCCAGCCACAGCCGCGCGGCCTGCCGTGCTCCCGTCAGCCCACCCGGCCGCTCTCTCGGCCAGCGCCAGTGATTGCTGAAACTTTCAGCCTTGTGACGCTCGTATGATGCAGGCTAGCTGACGATGACTCAGAAATCTCCCATTAAATTTACAAGGCGATGGAAAGGGACTTGATCCGTTGATCGCAGCTAAAAGGAGCTAGCACAATCATAAGCTAATGAGGTCAGCTTCGTCAATATCATTCCGATATCTGTATCACTGTATCAGGACACCGATTTGTCTCTCTCATTTCATGTCTGACGAAATTAGCCATTGTAAACGTCCGGAGTGCTTCGATTGGCCTGCTGACTGAACATGTTAGTTGTGTGTTACAAACTGCACTTGGAGAAAAAAAGAATATGGGAATGTCTGTATTACAACACTATTGCCGGATGGCCCCCAAGAACAAGACGAACGTAGCGACTCGTATTGTACGTTCTTAGAGAGATTTCACCACCAAAAAAATCTCACAAAATACGATGAGACGTGACGCGCATGCAATTTGCTTTGGGAAACTGAAAAAAAATGGCTAGTTGGTTGTGTTTGTGATGCGACTGTCAAATTATATGGTACTTCCAAGTACAGTTTGTGCATTTCATAGATATATATTGACATTCCTCTTGTCGTCCAAGTGCCGCTTCATTGTCATCTGAATACGCGCTTAGGGGGTTCTAAATTATAATATGGTTACTAGCAATACTATCAGACAATGTACGGAGATGTTGACATTTCTTTTTTCCACCTTGAGACGGAGATGCTAGGCCATTGACCATCATGTGCTCTCTGTGATCTGCTGACGATTTTGGATGTTGTTTTTGGGCCTGGGCGATTATTCCAACGCCACGGTTTGCGCAGATCGGCCACTTGGCCCTTCTTGACTGTCCACATATGACAGATGCTTGCCGTCCAGAATGGACAAGTGTTGTTTTTTAAAGAGAATATTTGAATCTGCATCCGGTTTCAGTCTGACTCTTGTTATGGATGGATGCATTGCATCCGAAGCAAGTGGAGTGAATGACCCTTCAGAAGAAATCAAGAAACTGTGTAGTTCAACTTAAACAGCACGACATCCATTCCTCTGTATTGCAGTGGAAACTTCACATTGCATAACGGATTTATTTTTTTTATATAAGATGTGCGGTGGGGGCATAAGGGAATCTCATGAATCAGCCATGGAAGAGTATAAGCAAAGGGATTGCCATGAAGGACTTGTAATATATTACACTGCTCTGAGAGTTGATAATCTCAGAATGAAGAATTCTGGGCCAAAGAAAGTCCCGGGCAGGTGCAAGGAGTGTACACTGTAGATAACTGTATAAGTCAGTATAGCTGTGTTTACACTTGGTACTCGTCAAGCGTTTCTGTGCTGATGAGACTTGACACTTGATAACTGTAGATAACTGTATAAGTCAGTATAGCTGTGTTTACACTTGACACTTGAACCGAAGTACTATTCTTAGATATGAACACAGAAGAAGCTGATGCTACAATTCTCCAACTGGAGCTACAGACGCGCCTATACATGGACTGACCGGAAATTCTATCTGTAGTGGTTTGAAGATGTCAGCTGCGTCGTGGTAAAAATGGCAATCTGTTGCGTGGGATATTTACACGCCTGATTACTTGCTAACCCTTTTGCTGTAACCATGATCGAGTTGGATAATCCTGTCAAGAAGCGCTGATCGTTGATGATCATGTGAGGAAGTGAAAACATTACTGATCATGATCATTGCTTTAATAATGATATATATAAGAGCATGCTCTTGCCACCTTCACACAAGAAGTAGTTATAACTTATCCGTTATCCCGATTTGGAAATTTCGACGTCATGCATGCTTGTATCGAAGCATGAATGAAAACATCAAATCAAAGCAGCAAAAGAGAAGGTCGGCGACAACACACGGTCCAGGTGATGGCAAATAGCCAAACATTATATGATCCAAAAAAATAAAAGGAAAAAACTGGACATTTATTAGCTGCGAGTTTTGACTTTGATTCGGAAATCTGATGTTCCGAATATGTACGGGCTACTATTCTATCGGTTTCCAGAAATAGTCAAGGTTCTTTTTGCGTGTTGTTTTTTTTTTTGGTTTATCGAAGATATTTATCCGATATGCTAATAGAGTTAATTGTTTATTATGTGCTATAAATTAAACACGTCGGTTATGGTTAGGACATCTTTCTCTCTATCTCTTACGAAACACAACAGATGAAAGTAGAAGAGCATAGATGTACAAAATAGGATGACTATTCTTTATTCTCTGAATATCGATACACATCTCCTATCGTTCAGTCATCTGAAAATCTCGGCATACTCCAAATGATGTTGAGCGCGCTGATGTTAGGGTCTATTGCAAGCTTTTCTTAAACTTACTCTCTAAATCATCATTTAGAGAGTCATTTAAACCATTTGAATAAAAATCATCTTTCCACCCTCCAACATTTTCTCAATATCTTGTGGGCACTTTAGAGAGCCAACTCCGCTCTCCATCTTTGGCTAGCAAAAATTCAGGATAGAGGATGACAATATTTGAAGATCTAATTAAATGAATTATTGGAGTGAATCTTTTTTTTACTAAAGTATCTATTCCTATATCAATAAGGAATGATATAAAGATGTCGCAGATGGAGGAGTCATGAGGATAGCCCAAGTTAGCATGGCGGGGCTCGGATGCGGCAGTCGGGAGACCGTCGAGGATGGAGGTCGGTCGACGGTAGGTGGGAGCAAGAGGCCAAGATGATGGCCATCGGAGGTAGAAGAAAAGACTCAAGCCATTGGATGGACATTAGATGATTAAGCTTCACCGCTTGATAATCATGTTGTTTTTAGGTGCCTAAAAGCCTGATGTATAGCACATCTCATATTGATAATTATGATATACAACTCCTACATATATATAGTTTTGATATGGACTAAGAGTTCAGTAAGGCCTTCGGCAATGTGATCCTAGAGTGACGCCTAAAGAAGAGAGGGTATTTAAGCATCACTTCTACCACTGCAGCATGCGATGCCAAATTTGAGTGGTGCACCAAAAATTGGAAGCGATGAAAGTGTAGGCATCGGTTCCAACTCATGCAGTGTACAGCAAAAACATGAGAAGGGACATGCATGCTGAAGAAAATGGTGAGAGAACACAGGACATGATGGGGCCAGGAGTGATGCCTTCCACTGCAACACAAGAAGAGTGGCTCCTATTTCTATGTGTGGGGCCCATTCTTAGTTTTCTGGCATCACCACGCTATGGGAGGCCTAAGAAGTTATATAGAGAATGGACTCTAGTTTAGATCTTTCTTCACTTTTCCTTTTAGGTTAGAGTCCGTTTATTTACCAACATTATGTGACAGAAAAACATGCAACTTTACTGTAGATAAACCTTGGAACATTTTTGGTACTTGGAAGATGAGCAGCTACCACCAAAATAGCACATAGGATAAACCTATATCTGCTTGCATTTATGTACCTCCTGCCATTTCAAGCAAGTTTGTTTTGCACCGACATACTTCTATATCTATTATCGGGCTGTTTGGCGGGATTTATTATGGCTACGGCTGATTTATTGTGAGAGAAAAATACTATTTAATACCTGAAAAGTAGGGCTGATACAAGCTCAAACGAACAGAGCCATATATGTTTTATCTAGTCATCTAGATATAGTATACGCGTCCTGCTGACCTGGCATGCAGTATTTTAAAACGGCGACTTCCTGCGCGGTTGAAGTCAGCAAGGATGCCCCAAAACAGAAGCCACATCTGGTGGCCCCCGCCGCCCGAGCGCGACGTCGTTTGTCGCTACCGCCGCAGCATGCGTGCTGCGGTAACCCGGCCTCTAGCTGCTGCGCGCACGCAAGACGGCGACCCGCGCCGGCGGCCGGGGAATGCCTCGCTTGAGCCCCGGGCCTCCGGTCCAGCGGGCGCCGCAGGAAACCACGCTCGCATTGACCGCTCCGACCGGCCGGCAGAAATGGCACGGAAGGTGCATGTGCGCGCCGCCTGGGCCCGGGCCGGATCGTTTCTGCCGGCCGTCTGGCTCCGGTCCGGTCCCGTCCCTACGTGTGTTCTACTTCTAGCAGTATCACGTCGCTGTCCAACCGTCCGTCCGTACGCCGTCGTGATCGCTGCACGTTTCGTGCCTCGCCGAGACGGCCGCAGGTGCCCGGCAAGTTCGCGTCGTGCGCGCGCACCGCCACCAACCCAGCACCCCTCCCCCTCTTGGGTGCTTGACCCGTTGGGTGTCTCCCGCCTCCTCCAGGCACCATTCAACGCCGCCATGGGCCATGGCAATACAAATAGCGCCCGGCAGCACCACGGTGGATTCCCCCCTCCTCTCGCTCTCCCACTCACCTTTTCCAGCCCTTTTTCGCCTGCCTGCACTGCGCTTTTTCTCCAGGCTCCAGCACCCGTGTGGCCGTGCCGTGACCATGGCGCCTGCTGCATGCGGCGGCGGCGGACGTGGTCGCTCTCCTCTGTCGCCTCTGCTGGGCTGCCTCGTCATCTTCTCGCTGCTCTGCACCGTCTGCCGCGCGCAGGACCCGGGGCAGCTGCAGCCGCTGCCGGCGCTGGAGGTGGCGACCTACAACTACACGTCGTTCCAGGAGGGCAACTCGCGGGAGCAGCGGGAGCTGGCGTTCAGCAGGGAGGCCCGCATCTACCAGGGCGCGATCCAGGTCTCCCCGGACACCGGCAACGTCGGCAGCTACCAGGACATCATGGTCAACAAGTCCGGCTCCGTGCTCCTCCAGCGCCGCTTTACCATGTGGCGCCGAGTCGACGTCGACGGCGGCGGCAATGGCAAGGGCAGTGCCACGGCCCCGCGCGTCCAGGTCGTGTCGTTCAACAGCACCTTCTCCATGAACGTGTTCCACCTCCCGGACTCGTCGCCGCGGCCCGGCGAGGGCTCACCTTCGTCGTCGCGCCGTCCCGCGACGAGCCGCCCCAGGCAGCTACGGCGGCTACCTCGGCCTCACCAACGCAACGCTGGAATCCAGCCCGGCGGCGAGGAACCGCTTCGTGGCCGTCGAGTTCGACACCACGAAGCAGGACTACGACCCCAGCGACAACCACGTCGGCCTCAACGTCGGCTCCGTCGTGTCCTTCAAGACGGCGAACCTGACGGCGTTCCGCATCGCCACGGACAGCGCCAGCCCCCGCAACTACACGGCCTGGGTCGAGTACGACGGCGCGGCGCGGCACGTGTCCGTGTACATGGCCGTCCGGGGCGAGCCGAAGCCGGCGTCCCCGGTGCTGGACTCGCCGCTGGACCTCAGCGAGCACGTCCCGGAGCAGGCCTACATCGGCTTCACAGCGTCCACCGGCACCGACTTCGAGCTCAACTGCATCCTCGACTGGACCCTGTCGATCGAGGTGATTCCGGAGAAGAAGAGCACGACGTGGGTCATCATCGTCGCCGTCGTCGTGCCGGTGACCGTCGTCGCGGTCGGCGTCGCCGCCTTCTTCCTCGCCAGGAAGCTGCGCGCGAGGCGGTCCATGGAGAGGCGGCAGGAGCGGCTGGAGCAGCAGCTCAGCAACCTCCCCGGGATGCCCAGGGGGTTCGCGTACGACAAGCTCAAGAAGGCCACCAGGAACTTCGACGAGCGGCTCCGGCTGGGGAAAGGTGGGTACGGCATGGTCTACAAGGGCGTGCTCCCCGCCGACGAGGCCCTGCCGGAGGGGATGGACGTGGCGGTGAAGAGGTTCATCCGGGACGATGGTAAGGACGTCACCGACTTCCTCCAGGAGGTCGACATCATCAACCGGCTGCGCCACAAGAACATCGTCCCTCTCATCGGTATGTGATCTATTTTTGCAAATGCATGATCAGGGGTTAGCTGATGATCATCATTTTGGTTCATCATGACCTGAGACTTGACTAGGATGCAGAAATAGTTTTAGACTTCCTAACCATTTTTTTTGCATCAGTTGAAGGCTTGTAGGTGGTTAGTAGCTTTAGGCTGAACAACCAGCAACTTCATTTTGTAGCATTGACGAGTCAGTAGTGATGGGCAAGTACAAGGGGCAACATTTTCTACTAAAATTCTGACACGTTTATGAAATCGTAAACGAACAAACAACTTAGTATTCTGTTGTTCAACTATCCCGGTGACGTACGCGTCCTGATTTTTCTTCTATTGGGCATCACCGCATCGCCATTGAACAAATCCTACAGAGTAGGTTATAGTCGTTAGAGCGAACGTGCAGTGATGTCCACTTGCATTTTTGCTCAAACAACTTAGTATTCTGTTGTTCAACTATCCCGGAGACGTACGCGTCCTGATTTTTCTTCTATTGGGCATCACCGCATCACCATTGAACAAATCCTACAGAGTAGGTTATAGTTGTTAGAGCGAACGTACAGAGTAGGACTATGAGATGCGTCTTGTTCTTTTTCCATTCTGATCTGACGAGCACTGCGTCGCTTGCATTTTTGTCAGGTTGGTGCTACAAGAAAGGGCAGTTGCTGCTGGTGTACGAGTTCATGCCCAACGGCAGCCTGGAGCAGCACCTGTTCCGGCGCGGCGTCCACGAGCAGCGGTGGCCCGTGCTGAGTTGGGCGAGGCGGTACGCCATCGTGGGCGACGTCGCGGCGGGGCTCCACTACGTGCACCACGAGTACACCCGCATGGTGCTGCACCGCGACGTCAAGGCCAGTAACGTGCTGCTGGACGCGTCCTTCCGCGCGCGGCTGGGCGACTTCGGCCTGGCGCGCGTGCTCGACGACGACCGCGAGGCCTTCACCGATTTCCACGTCGCCGGCACGCGGGGGTTCATCGCGCCCGAGTACTGCGTCGGCCACAAGGCGTCGCGCGAGACGGACGTGTTCGCGTTCGGCGCCCTCGTGCTGGAGGTGGTCACGGGGCAGCTCGCGCTGCGCGCCGGCGACCCCCGGTGCCCGCTGCTGTCGGACTGGGTGTGGCAGATGCACGGCCGCGGCGCGCTGCTTGGTGCCGTGGACCAGAGCCTCGGCGCCGACGAGTTCGACCACGACGAGGCCGCCCGTCTGCTTCTCCTCGCCCTGGCGTGCAGCAGCCCCAACCCGGGCGACCGGCCCACCATGCCGCAGGTGCTGCAGGTCCTAACCAAGGCCGCGCCGCCGCCCGAGGTGCCGCCGTTCAAGCCCCGGTTCGTGTGGCCGCCCGAGGGGGGAGCGAATTTCCAGCTGAGCGATGTCGAGGTGACCACGAGTGGCACCGGCACCGACGTCGGCGTGTCGACGCGGGCCACGCAGAGCACCTCCTACGACAGCTTCCAGCCGCACACCGCGCCAAACAGCAGCGACAGTTACTTCCCAGCCCTCTCCTCCGGCCGTTGATCAACGGCAGCGACGGTTACTTCCCAGCCGTTGATCCAGGGCTTGCTTTGTGTGCATAGACATAGCATATAACACGCACATAATCTTGGCCTTTTACATCATGTATGCATGCATTTGGTCATAATTGCAGCTAGCTTCGAAGATGTAAATATATATATCCATGTACAATATCGAATTCGTTAAGGAGTTCAGTTCCATGCACCTGCACTTCAAGTTTTAGGAGACCTGCATCTGTTGTTTCAGTGAAGCATGACAGGGTCTGTTTTGGCTAGTCAGAAATTTTAGTATTGTACAGCCAGATCTTCACATTGATTCAACTGAAATAAAGGAGTATTTTTTTTTGTTTGATTTCTTGGAAGAAACGGACTTTCGTCTTCGGAGTTATAAACTCACTAAAATGCCAAATCAGCTAGCAGTCCAACTGCAAATGTGCAGTGGTGGAGCGTGAGGTAGAATCATGGGGGAGGGAGGCAGCTTTAGTAAAACTTGAGCATACAATCCAACACACAAGGATAAAGTTGTGTGCGATGTAGAGAGTTATCCGGTTTCTCAAGAGAAGACTCATGGGATAAAGAGCTCGGAGATTTGATGGATGGGTGCAAATATTAAAATTTGCCTTTGGATCAAGGAGACAAGAGTCTACTATCGCCTCCATGAGGTTCTGTCCCTGTCAATGTGGTCACACATTCCAGTTTTTATACAACTCTGCATCATCCTCACTCTATTTATATGCTTTGCTCTCAAATCCGTAGGTTGTTCCATTAATAGCAATTTCATCCTTAGATGGGCCCACCTTAAAGCCGGTTGCGATATGAGAAACCTCATATCTTCATCCTCCTTCATTGCTTAGTTGACACTAGCATTCTAAGCCATCCCAAGCCTTTTCATCTCTTCTCAAAGCCTCATCTAAGTCTTACTCTTCCATTCACAAATGGCTGGAAATAAGGGGAAGCAGATCATTCCATATGGGACTGATCTAAGAAATTTTGAGCGACGAGAGAGGAAGCCTCATATGGGACTGATCTAAGAAATTTTGAGCGACGAGAGGAAGCCTTAGCACTCAGTGTTTTGCCTCCAAGAGAGATTGTTCCAACTCCGGCAAAAGATGTAGCTCTTAGTGGTTGGAACGGGTCAGCCGAACTCTTTTATGGGCAAGCAATCTTTCCTGGTGCATCCACCACTTCTCGCCCATTGCCTGTGCCTCCAATTTCTCACGTTCCAATGAAATACAAGATTGGAGGAGAGAAGCGTCCACTCGATCAGCTGAATCCTAAGCCAATTATGGTGGGCAAGGATCTTGACATCCTTCCTTCTAGGAAGGGGGAGACCTTGGTTAAGGATGGAGATACTGCTTATGCCACCTAGTGTTTCAAGTGAAGCCAAGAGTGACTATTAAGGGGATTAGAGCTGAACCAGGACAAGTTAGGATTCCACCGAAAACCTCTACTCTTGTAGAGAAGAAGAAGGTGCCTCCGTCTGTTGAAGTGCAAGAGGATCATTGTTTGGAGTGTAAACAAAAAGTATAATGATCTTTTTTTAAGTATACCCAGTCCCTACGAGATAGGCTTGACCATGAGATGCAACGCTTTGAATTAGAAGACAAGTTGATGAAAATCTGGATTAGAAGTTTGAGCTTGATGTTAGTATAAAACGCTATTAGGCTAGTTTGTTTAAGTTCAGTTCGCTTTAGATTAAATGGTGTGTTAGTTTGATAAAGTTTGCTTACTAATAATAAAAAGCGTTTTATATACTTGTCGGTGTTTCGGACCGGGGGGTCCTCAACCAACCAGTGAATTTGTTCTGCGTGCTCCCGATCCGGATGGTGATGCAAAGAGACACAAGGTTTATACTGGTTCAGGCAATCGAGGCCCTACGTCCAGTCTGAGAGATCGATCTTGTATTCCTTGCACCGAGGTGCTCGTAGTAGGGGGTTACAAGCTAAAGGAGAGAAGGAGCTGGTCCTAGGTTTGGCAGGGTGCGTCGGGCCGCTTGAGGCGTTGCTCTCTGGCGGCGAGGGTGTGTGTGTGTGTTACAAGATGTCCCCGTCCCTAAAACAACCCAGGTCCTCTCCTTTTTATAACATGAAGGGAGGACTTGGGTGGTACATCATCTTGACTATCTGGCGTCGTGTGAGAAGAGAGGTGGCGTGTCCGGGCCCTGTAGCTGTTGTTCGTGGCGGCGTGGCCGTCCGGAGTGGTCCATCCTTGGAGTCTTTGGCGGCGTGGTCATCCCATCAGGTCTGTGCGCCGTGGGAGCCCGGGAATGCCTCGGAGTGGATGCGGCGCGAACGTGCAAGCCCGCGTGGACGGATAATGCGCGATGCCGAGGCTTGGTCGATGCGATCGAGGCGGCAACGCTGTGGTGGGGGTCTTGGCGGCGCGAACCCCAAGATCATCGAGGCCTCGATTATGCAGTGCGAGGCCTTGGCGGGCAGCCGATCATGGGCACAGCGTTTGGACCACAGTGGTCGGTAATCCCGTCGTACCCTTTCCCGGTCGGTATGGTGCTGATGTCGTGGACACGATGGTAGGACACGGTGGTAGGACACGATGGCTTTGTCTGGCGTATGTATGGCGATGTGACCTCGGTCGCGTCGGCCATCTGTGGCGTTGGGCCACCGTCCGGCTGAGATTGCGGGAGTGGTTGAAGCATTAATGAGACATGACAAGTTGTTGGGAGGGTCGACCGAGGCAGGGGCGGCGGGACCGTGGGCGAGCCGACCTCGGCGACATGAAGAATGAGGCCTCGCGAGCGTCACGGAGAATGAGGCCTCTGCCGAGGCCTTCCTGGATAGCCTCGGGCGAGGCGGAGACAGCGTCCCCCGCCGAGGCTCGGCGCCCTGCCGAGGCCTACCTTGGGAGCCTCATGAGGCGGAGTTCGTTCAAGAGACCTCTGCCGAGGCTCGAGGCGAGGTGGAGGAGGGCTCGGTCGCGGCAGGTGAGGGGCCCATGGCTTACCTTCTAGCTTTATTTTAACGTTTGCTTGGGGTACCCCGTTCTAAGGTACCCGATAGATACTTTCCTGCCGGTCTCGGACACGACTTTGGGCGTCCCAAGCGTTTATTCGCTTGGGTCTCGGCCCCGAAGGGCTCGCCATGATCGCCTTCGACTCTGTTATCCTGGGCAATTGCCGAAACCCTTTTGGGGTCCAGCCTTGAACCCCTAGATCGTAATAGGCTCAGAGCCGGTTCCTTCCTATGAAAGAGCAGGCCGCGGAAATATCTTCCCTATTGGCTCGGCCACGAGTGGCGCGCCTTTTGAGGCGATTTTATTGGGAGTCGAAGCGGTACTGCTTTGCCGTAGTGGCGGCGTGGCGTGGTGGATGGGACGAATCGTCCTCACATTTAATGCGGGGAGGCGTGGGCGCGTGGGCGGTGAAATCGGCTCGTGGTTAACCGCGCTAGATTGGGGGAAATCTCCTCGATTTCATCGCCGCTTCGTTTCGCCTCCTCCGCATAAATACCGGGGAGTTTGCCCCTCCTCGTCTTACCTTGCATCGATTGCCGCCCACGAGCCGTCGCTAGAAATGAAAAGCCGAGAAGGAGAGGAGGAAGAGCGAGCCTAGGAGGAAGCGAGAAAAAAAAGTGAGAGCGTGGGAGGAGAAAAGACTCACCGCCGCACTTTGATTCCCCAGCGCACCCATGGCGGTGATATCGTTGTCGTCGAGGCGGACCCTTGGGATCCATCGGACGTCACCGAGGAGATGCTCTAGTCGCTTGTCGACGGTGGGCTCCTCCGCCCGGTGACTGACTCCACCAGGCCGGAATGGATTGCTCCGTACGGCGAGCCGGAGCCAAGGCCTCGCGACGGCTATGTCGTAAGCCGTCTCCTTCCACGAAGCGTGGCCTCGGCGCCGGTGGACGGTTCATGCTGGCGCACGCACTACTACGGCGTGGAGCTCCACAATTTTAATCCCAACTCCGTTGCTCGGCGGCTATCTTTGTTGCCGTCTGCGAGAATGTTAGAGATCGCGCCCATTGGGAGTTGTGGCTCCATACATTCGGCGGGGCATACTACAAAGTCGTCCAGGCACGTCGGGCAAGAGGAAGGCGGCGAGGGGCGAGGCTGCACTCTCCAAGTCGCGTCGGGACTGCTGCACCTCTACATCCCGGCCCAACTTCGCGTCCTCCAACCGCCGGTGGTACACGAGTTGGTTTTATCTTCGTAACGACGACGGAGGGCTTCCCCCTACGGGCGGATTGTGGGAGTTGCGGGAGAAGTGGAAGTGGGGCGTCCGAAGGTCGACCAGCCCAAGTGGAGCCGCTCTGGAGAAATTTGGCGAGGTCTGGGGCCATGCCTCACCATGTTTGTGGTTGTGGGCGCGTTCCACCGCCGGAGGTCTTTGCCCGTGATGGCTCGGCGGCGGCGGCTATTCGAGATGAAGCCGGGTGAGCCCATTGAGGGCACCGGATGTCCTCTTCCGCCCTTTCCGAGGAGGAGATTCTTCATCGGTGGGGAGGCGGTGAGAGGCGAAGGCGAGGCGGCAACTTGACCCCTATCGCGATCTGGCCGTCGTCGGGGTTCCTTTCGCTGGTAAGTCGTGCGCCGTTGTTGCCTCGACCCTCCTCGGTCTCCTCCTACCCCTTGTTCCCTTATATGCGTTTGTCGTTCCTTTAGGGGATGAGGGGCGTGTGCTCCTCTCCACCGCCTGCGTTCAGAGGACGCGGAGCGGTGGCGGTCAACCGTGCTCACGCCGATGCGAGAAGAGGCGAAAGGACGCCAAAGCGGCGAAGCGCCTGAAGCACACATCCTCGCGAGGAGCTAGATAAGCGCCGTCAACAACGGAAGGACGGTCTTCCATTTGGAGAATCCCGTCGGCGTCATTGTCGACGGAGGCCTTTGGACAGGGGCGACAAGGTCGAGGGAGGCGAGGTCCCTGGACCACCTTCACGATGTCGTGGAGGTGGCGCTGGGGTGTCGGTAGCATCCGGCACCCCCGGAAGGGAGGAGAAGCGGACCCGGGGCGGCGGTTGCCCGCCTCCGGGGCCGAGGCCGACACGC